AAAAGCAAGAAAAACAACAAGACAGAATCTCTAAGTGAAGAACCTACCCGAGCTCAGGCCGGCTGCAATGAGCTTGGCCTCCGTCAGATACTGTTGACACTTCAGCCCAAGCCGTGCCCATTGCCGGAGGCCCTTCGCCGTCTCTTTGTCAAGCGTGACCCTGGAGTCAGGAGCGGCCATCCCCCACCCGGTCTGAAACGGCCACCCTAGCACACTTCGCACCCCGAAATAATCCCGCTTCCATGCTGGGACCTTGTTGGGGAGTTCATGTAAAAACTTAAAGCCCGGGCGAGGAGACAGGTAGCATGCTCGCCTACGCCCGGGGAGGGGACCCGCTTGCTTTTTAAGCATCAAGATCGAAGAAAAAACCTCCAAGTCCAAAGGAAATCTCTCTTCGCAAAATAAAGAGATTGTCCCCACCAAATTTCAAATGGAGTTCGGGTGCAGCTGGCCGACCGTCACGCCGAAGTGGTTCAAGACTTCGACATAGAGGGGATGAAAAGGTAATCGTAGCCCCGCGGCGAGCTGCTCCCGGAATATCACGATCTCATCAGGACCGTGTTCCCAAGGAAAGCTACCCGAAGGTATGAAATAGGCGTACTCCCCGGGCAAGTTATAGTAGGTAATGAGGGATTGGAGCCCCTCAGGCATCATGGTTGAAGGACCAAACTTGTCTAACATCCGACCCCGATGAGAGGTAGATGCCAAAGTGCCCGAAGCGCCTCGGCCTACGAGTTCGAACTCTTCCTCGAGCTCTACCTCCAGCTCGCTAGGGCTATCAGGGGATGCAACTCGGTTCATAGAACCTGCATCAGACCCACTGGAAGGACTATCTGAGCTAGACATCAAGGAGTGAGATGGGATCCAAGAAAGTACTCACCCGGAAAAAGGCTGTAGACCACAGGAGTTCGGACGAGAAGAAGACCTTGAACGCGAACTGAAGAAACCTGGACGCGAACTGAATGCGAGCTGAAACTTGGACGCGAGCTCGAAAGAAATACAAAAGTGACAGCGACTGGGGTCCTCTCCGGTATTTATACTCACAGTGACCGAAAAGCGACGGCTTAGATCAAAGCCAATCCGACGGCCCACAGCCGCACTGACTGCACGTCCTCTGAGATCGAGACGTGATTGGCGCACGTCTTTCTGAAACTGACAGAGCGCTGGTGCACGTCTTTTCAAAAACTGACGGAACGCCAGTGCACGTCTCCTCTATAAAAGCGGCAGCGACACGTCTTTTCAAATTTAAAGACGCCCGCTATCGCGCCTCCCAAGTGGTGCGCTTTTTTGAAATTTCAAAATAAAGCGCGTGACGCCACATCTATCAGCGTTTAGGCAGGCCGGCGCGCTTCCCGCCTTTTGGACGCTCGAAGAAACCCAAGGGACCCTAACAACGCACCTCGCGACCGTCAGAACCAAGATTCAAAGTGCAGGGCAAATCTACCTAACACCTTGCGAACTCCCCGCGCAAGGGCAAGACCCTTAGCACGAGGAGTGGGGAGCAATTGATGAAGGAAGATTTGGCCCGGCCTCGCAATCACGCCACGTGGCAAAAAAACAAGTAGCTCGGCACTTGAAGCAGCGTACCCAGGGTGCAAACACCAAAGGGAAGAAACCAACAGTCCGAACTCCCCTCGAGGAGACCGAACTCCCTTCGAGGAGACCGAACTCCCTACGAGGAGCCCGAACTCCCTAAAAGGAGCCTGACCTCCCTACTAAGAGCTCGAACTCCCTACGAGGAGCCCGAACTCCCTACGAGGAGCCCGAACTCCCTACTAAGAGCTCGAACTCCCTACGAGGAGCCCGAACTCCCTACGAGGAGCCCGAACTCCCTACTAAGAGCTCGAACTCCCTACGAGGAGCCCGAACTCCCTACGAGGAGCCCGAACTCCCTACTAAGAGCTCGAACTCCCTACGAGGAGCCCGAACTCCCTACGAGGAGCCCGAACTCCCTACTAAGAGCTCGAACTCCCTACGAGGAGCCCGAACTCTCCCTTTGGCTCCGAGCCACACAAAGCAGTGACCCGAACTGGCCCGTCTCATGGCAGTTCGGGACACTCCCCTATCCGAACTCAAGACTTCGCCTCGCACACCGCTCCAGCACTTTGCCTCTAGAGCATTGAACTAAACAAACCACACCGTACATGACACCGAAGGGGTCCATATCCTGGGGTGGTGCACCTGACTGACTTGGGATTTGACGCTTGACGGCCGCACTTAAACGGCCACCTGCCACCGTCACCTGCCACCGCCATCTCCAGTTACAGAGATGGCTCCGACAAAAAGAGCAGTGACGGTTCTGCCCCAGCAAAGGTGATGACACCCGAACTGGCAGAAGCACGGAAGTAATCATACCCGACCTAACAAAAGTCTAGGAGTGAGTGCACGAGGTGGTTATAAAAGGCTCTCCACCCCCCAAAGAAGAGGTATGCAAACTTTGCGCTATCTGGTTTTATCTTGCCTTTGAAAGATTCTAACTTGAGTTTCGGAGCCTTTACACCGGGTTACCCTCGGAGCTTCCTCATCTTCTCTGTTTCAGGTTCCCTGCTACTCAGTTCAGAGGCAAAGTCGTTGACAGCTAAGACCGGCCGGATTGCGCACCATCACCTCCCAAAATGGTGACTTAATCCATTGAAGGGCTGACCGCTTCAGCCTTGTTAAATAGCTTATCCAGAGTGTTTCAAAGCTGCTGAACCAACTTAGCTGAATCTTCAATTCATCGCTCCCCTCCCAAACGGGCCTTAATAAGTGGACCTCTGCCATTCAAAGTTGGGTGATATTACTGCCACAAAGCCTATAAGGACGAGGAAAAACATTTTTTGTAAAGATTGAGGGCATTCTAGTACTTTTACCACGTGACATCAGTCGTCCTCTTCCGCATCCACCAGATCGAACGACATAACGACAAAACCTCTGTAAAATGACGAAAAAACCCACCTCAATTTCTGAATTCTGACTATGACTCCCGATCCCGACCACAAGCAACACTCTTCAACAAACCGACGCAACAATTGAACAAACAGGAAACAGCACCCGCAAATTGACCAAACTACTCTCCGTTCCTTTAATGCCACATCTAAAGACATGGGTTTATCCGTAATTTCAAGACGCAACATTCACCTTTCTCCACGTTTAATAGAGGATGAAAACTGAAAAGTACTTCAGTCACGCACAGACACAAGGGTCCACTGTGACATCAATCGTCAACCGTTAAGATGTCATTTAACGGGAGAGATCAACGGTCAATGGGTCACACATACAGTCAACTATAGTACCAAGCACTACCGTTTAATTAATCCTAACTCTAATAAGAAACAATTTAATTAACATACTAATTATTCTCTACTAATTAGATCGAGATTTCACGTCAAAATCTAGAGAGAGAAAGAGTTGGAGAGAGAGACAGTAGTCACATGGCATGTATGCAACAGCTGTGTTTCTTCTCTCCATCTCCGTCCTCGATAAATAACTCCTCACCATCCCTACTTCCGTCTTTTGACTCTCTCGAGCGTCGTTCGCTCTCTCTCTCTCTCTCTGTTATAGACACTCTGATGGTGGAACTGAAACCCTAGAAAAGCCGAGAAACTATAATGAGAAGCCTGTGAGGATTCCACAAACAGTCAATGGAGTTGCAGAAGCTTTTGTACTTGGTTGCAGCTATCTCTGTTGTTTTTCTCGCCGGGAAAGCTTCACCGGCGACCATTAATGGAGGTGTTAAAGATGCTCAGTTGTTGCTTTCTTTCAAAGGTACGCTTTTTGATCCAAGCTTGCTTCAAAGCTGGCAGTCGAGTCGGAATCCTTGCTATTTTAGCGGTGTTACATGTAAGAACTCGAGAGTTTCGTCTCTGAATCTGAGTTCTATCCCGTTGAGCTCCGATTTCAAGTTTGTTGCTTCGTTCCTCTTGAGCTTGGAGCGTTTGGAGACGTTGTCGATGAAACGTACGAATCTCACTGGGAACCTGTTGTCGGCTTCGAGTTATCGGTGTAGTGCGATGCTGAGTGAGCTGGATCTGGCCGAGAACGGTTTGTCTGGCTCGGTTTCAGATATTTCGAGTCTGTCTTCGTGTTCGAGCTTGAAATCTCTGAACCTCTCGGGGAATTCGTTGGGTCCCTCGACTGGAGGGAAGGATTCCGGCGGTTTACGGTTCAGTTTCCAGTCACTTGATCTTTCCTTCAATCATATTTCTGGTCAAAACGTTATCCCCTGGCTATTGTCTGGCGGTTGTGCCGAGCTCAAGTACTTGTCTTTGGAGGCAAACAAAATCACGGGGTATGTCCCGGTATCTCAGTGCCGGAGTTTGGAGTACCTCGATCTCTCCGCGAACAATTTCTCAGGGAGCATACCCTCTTTCGGCTCTTGTGAAGCACTGCAGCATCTGGATCTCTCGGACAATAAATTTTCCGGCGACATAGGAGTTGGGTTGTCGGGCTGTCAGCAGCTGAGCTTCTTGAATCTATCCGTCAACCAGTTCTCGGGGAAAATCCCATCTTTCCCCAGCGGAAGTTTACAGTATCTTCTGCTCTCCACTAACGACTTCGAAGGGGAGATACCTCTGCATCTGGCCGACGCTTGTTCAACTCTTATCGTGCTCGATCTTTCCTCCAACCACTTATACGGTACGGTTCCTAATAATATCGGTTCTTGTTCTTCATTGGAAACCATTAATCTCTCCAACAACAACTTATCTGGTGAATTCCCAACCGAGATCCTACTCAAGATGACCAGTTTGAAGAATCTTGTTCTGTCTTATAATAATTTTATTGGTGGTTTGCCGGATTCTCTTTCGTTGCTTACAAATTTGGAATTGTTCGATATCAGCTCTAATAATATTTCTGGGCCCATCCCTTCGGGACTGTGTGAAGGTCCCAATAAGAGCTTAAAGGAGCTGTATCTTCAGAACAATCTCTTAACGGGTACTATTCCGGCAGCTCTCAGTAACTGTTCTCTGCTGGTTTCTCTTGATCTCAGCTTCAATTACCTCACAGGGACAATCCCTTCGAGCTTGGGTTCCCTATCTCGGCTCCGTGATCTGCTAATGTGGATGAATCAGCTCCATGGTAAGATCCCACCGGAGCTCATGTACATAAAAACGCTTGAAAATCTAATCCTGGATAATAATGGTTTAACTGGGACTATTCCTTCTGGTTTAAGCAACTGCACTTCTCTGAATTGGATTTCCTTGTCGAGCAATCAACTGAGTGGTGAGATCCCATCGTGGATTGGTCAGTTGAGCAATCTAGCAATCCTCAAACTTGGAAACAATTCGTTCTCTGGTGCCATTCCTCCAGAGCTTGGGGACTGCAAGAGCTTGATATGGTTGGATCTCAACGACAATAAATTGAGTGGGTCCATCCCTCCTACCTTATCAAGGCAATCTGGAAACATCGCTGTAGGGTTGGTTGCGGGGAAGAGGTATGTGTATCTCAAGAATGATGGGACCAGTCAGTGCCGTGGAGCTGGTAACCTCCTCGAGTATGCTGGAATCCGTCAAGAAGGGCTGAACAGAATCCCCACCCGCCAGTCATGCAACTTTACCAGAATCTACTTTGGCAACACCCAGTACACGTTCAATAACAATGGCTCCATGATCTTTCTTGATCTATCGTACAATATGTTGGAGGGTAGTATTCCTAAGGAGCTTGGGAACATGTACTATCTTTCTATTTTGAATTTGGCTCACAATAATCTGTCTGGTCCCATCCCACCAGAGCTTGGAGACTTGAAGAATGTTGGGGTTCTTGATCTCTCTCACAATAAACTCAATGGATCAATTCCCGGAAGCTTATCTGGCCTTACTCTGCTTTCTGATATTGATCTGTCCTTCAACCAGCTCTCTGGACCAATTCCTGAAACAGGTCAGTTAGCAACTTTTCCACCTTGGAGATATCAGAACAATACTGGTCTGTGTGGTTTACCTCTCGAACTTTGTGGAGAGAATAACTCAAATGCATCAACCCAGCATCAGAAGTCTCACCGCAGGCAAGCATCACTTGCTGGGAGTGTCGCAATGGGTTTATTATTCTCCCTCTTCTGCATCTTTGGACTGATTATTGTTGCTGTTGAGCTCAAGAAGAGAAGAAAGAAGAAGGATGCAACACTTGACGTCTACATAGATAGCAGGTCTCATTCAGGAACAGCAAATGTCAGCTGGAAGCTAACAGGTGCACGGGAAGCATTAAGCATAAACCTTGCAACCTTTGAGAAGCCCCTTCGGAAGCTCACATTTGCTGATCTTCTTGAAGCCACTAATGGATTCCACAATGACAGCCTCATCGGTTCAGGTGGCTTTGGAGATGTTTACAAAGCACAACTGAAGGATGGAACTGTTGTAGCCATCAAGAAACTAATCCATATTAGTGGACAAGGAGACCGAGAATTCACAGCCGAAATGGAGACTATTGGGAAGATCAAGCACCGAAACCTTGTACCCCTCCTAGGCTACTGCAAGGTTGGGGAAGAACGTCTCTTGGTCTATGAATATATGAGGTTTGGCAGCTTAGAAGACATTCTACATGATCGTAAGAAAACTGGAATCAAGCTGAACTGGGCAGCAAGGAGGAAAATTGCCATTGGGGCTGCAAGGGGATTAGCTTTCCTTCACCACAACTGTATTCCTCACATAATTCACAGGGACATGAAGTCAAGCAATGTCCTGCTTGATGAGAACTTGGAAGCTAGAGTGTCAGATTTTGGAATGGCAAGGCTGATGAGTGCAATGGACACTCATCTGAGTGTCAGCACACTTGCAGGCACCCCTGGTTATGTCCCTCCTGAATATTACCAGAGCTTTAGGTGTTCTACAAAAGGTGATGTCTACAGCTATGGAGTCGTCCTGCTTGAGCTGCTAACTGGTAAGCAGCCAACCAACTCGTCTGACTTCGGTGACAACAACCTAGTGGGGTGGGTCAAGCAGCATGCAAAGCTGAAGATAACTGATGTTTTCGACCCTGAGCTCATGAAGGAGGATCCGACTCTGGAAATGGAGCTTCTACAACATCTAAAGATTGCATGTGCATGCCTAGATGACCGACCGTGGCGACGACCCACCATGATACAAGTAATGGCTATGTTCAAAGAAATCCAGGCAGGTTCAGGCATCGACTCCTCTGCTACCATTTCCACCGAGGACGCAAGTTTTGGTCCTGTTGCAGTAGCAGACATGACCATAAAGGAAGGTTCCGAGCTAAGCAAACACTAGACGAAGTTCAATTTTCCAAGGAAAAGAAAAAACATTCTTTGAGAAGAAGGTGATAATTTTTAGCCGGCCGCCTCATTTTTTTTCCCCAGCTTTACCACTTGACTGGTATAAAAGCCCTGTTTATGTATCCCTATCAATCAATCTATGTATTATATCTCTCTTTCTCTCTCTCCCAAAATCTTCTTCTTTACACATGAAAGGCTTTTTTAACCTGTTATGTGTACATACACGTATAAAGACATAAAGTAGTTATTGGTGGTTTTAATTCCATCTCTCTTTTTCATACTTTGCCTCTCTCAAGGATTTTGCATTCAAATCCAATCCTTAAATAAAGGAGGGGCGTGGACTTGTTCTGTGACCTCAGTGATTGTGACTATGTTGGTGGGTGGAAGGTCTCTGTTTTGTTTCCTTTCATCTGGGGTTTCCGTTTCTCTCCTGCATTTGATTATTACTTCAATTTTCTTCTAATTTATTCCTTAACCTATTCCAGATTCCACATCCCTCATCATGAACTCAAAGAAGACAGTAAAATAAACCAGTTCTGAACTTAAGCAAATTATGTTGAACCTGAGATTATTTGATTAGTCTTGATTCCTGGGGTTAAATATATAGACCAGAAGTTTTGGTGTATCGCCTTTCATGCCTAGTATTCTTTCTTGAAAACAACTCCCTGACTTTCCTTTTTGCCAGCTAAGACAACTCACTATCTCATCCATTACGAGAGCAGTGTCCTTGAGTGTCCTTGTTATTGGAATTGATTAATTTACTTCACTGTGTCATCCTTTGTCTCATCTCCCCATGTTTGTTTAATCCAACCGGGCTCCATTTCTTATTGTATCATCCATACCTTCACTGATTCTCCAGGCTTGTATCATCACTTGATGATTAATTCAAATCAGACGGTCTTGATGGGCTGTACAACACAGTACCAACAATTATTGGCCACACGATCAAACACTGCAAATCAGAATCCAAACACCCATTAATTGGGTTCCTGCAGGAATTAATCAATGTTGTGGGTGATGAAATAGAATCGCAACTGAACCGAAGCAAACAAAAGGTTGGTGCACGAGGGAGGTGCAGATAGTACATGGGTGAAGGCCCAATCCAAATGGGTTTGTGGCGGAGGGTCGCCCATCTATTGCTTTCGCCACCACGCGCAGAGGTGGGGGAGGTGACACATGGGCCTGCTCACGTCCTGGGCTTGTCTGAGGGGCTACCCTACAACGTCGTCTTCTCCATTAAGCTGCTGTCGTTTTCCGGGCCCATAAATTGACATCCAAGGAATTTGCTCCCTCTAACTCGATCCTTTTAACTTTAATTGGTTCCGGAAAATAAATTACTTTAATAATACTTTACCATCGAATGAAGCACATAAAGAGGGCAGATAATTAGGACTCCTTTTGGCTAGCGGTATAATTTCATTTGCACCGATGCAAATGTGTGGGAGTGCAAATGAGTTAAATCCAAATATTAATTTAATTTCGGAGTTTAACTACAGTTCGGTTTGAAATTTTTATGTATGTTACATCAAAATTTCAACCAATTACATTAGAGTTGTCACATAGTCTACTTTATTTTCATCGGTTCACATTTTACAATCTATATTCATTATTAAAGAATTTAACAACATTAAAAAAATGTTATTCTAATGTTTCACTTTATCACTAGTTTGTTCATGTTTTTTTTTTCTTTTTAATTATGTTGAAGTGATTTTTTCCGTAGAACGCACAATAGATTTTGCCTTAATTTTATTATGGGTTTTACTTATTTTTTTATTTGTATGTGGACAAAAAGAAATGAAGCAAAATAAAGTAAAATTCAACACGAAAATAAATCAAAATTTGCAATTTCCTCATTTGCACTCTTATGCATTTGTAATAATGCAAACGAAAAAGGCCTTGAGAGCAAATAAATACACTTATATTACCCCTGAGAACTAATAACCATAGAGGAAACATGAAATATAATGCTTTTTGAATCTTTTATTTTTCTTTCTTTCCACTTAGACATCATGAAAATTTGAATTGCATGTACGCATTTATTTATTAGGCTCCACCTTGATTAGATTGAAAACCCAAAACCTAGTGGACTAGGGGTGAGCAAAAAAAAAAAAAAAAAAAACCAAAAAAATTGAACGACTGAAAAAATCGACCAAAAACTGAATCGATTAATTGAATCCGTCGGTTCAGTTTCGGTTAACCATTTAAAAAAATTGACAGTTAGTTCAACCGATATATATATATATATATATATATACAATAATATATATTTATATAATATTATATATGTTATATTTTTTATTTTTTTTTGAAAATCGAATAAAAGAAACCAAAAAAACAGTTAAGTGCATAAAAAAACTGAAAAACCAAACCACAATTAACCGGTGGACCCCTAATCTGGACTATTTTAGAGCACTTCACATCCACACAAATTGTCAGGATATATAAATAAATTATGGGAAAATTTATACAATTTAGGATGCTTTATTTTTGAAATAAAACCTAATCGTGAATTAAGAAAAAGAAATAAATCCCATCAATATCTCTATCGACAATTGTCAATCCATTTGGTTGAAACCTAACTAGATGATCTTCATCGATATAGGTTGTAGTTGTCTTCTTTTCTTTTTAATTCCTTTGAAAGAAAACAATTGATAAGGTTGCTCTTTCAGCTTCGAGCAATGCAGGTTTTGAATATTAATCTTTATATATATATATATATATTGCCTATATTGTTAAAGGGAATCTCTCCGACAACTCAAATTGTTTTCAACACGGGGAAATAATTCTGGCACTGTATATTTGCTTATGTCAAACTAAGAAATGCTAAAATGAACAAAGTGATATATCAAGCAGAGAGCTAGCTCAAGCTAGGTATGTCCAAAACCCAACGCTATATACGTACGGTTTGACAAGCCTTCACTTAACCGATTTGGCCGTCTTCGTTCTCTAGCTCGTTTTGGAAGCTTCATGGACCATGGTGGTTGCGTTTATGGTAGCGAGTTATAATCACTAGACCCTAATGGGGACCCAGATAAAGGCTTGGTTGGTTCTTGATTAGACATTAGGTTAGTTGGTGCAGAAATATTGGACCTTCCGACTGAAATGCCTTAGAGAGAGAGAGAGAGCACTCTGTGAATCCCTGTAAGTTGGAACTTGCCATTAATCCATCACAGACCAGAAGAAGCTCAGAACTCAGGGATGAGCATTGTCAACGTTAATGGGGGTTGTTTAATTTTCAGAGAGCATGCAGTCTGGCACTTATCAATTCGTTCTGCTAAGAGTGACAGACTGACTGTTGAGGAAGGAAAAGAGATCAATGATCTTCTCATTACCCTTGCATATATTAACTGCAGGTCACTTTTTCTAGCTCCAGTATAGTAACAATCACAGTATCAATAATAAAATTCTTGCTTTTATGGTTTTATCTCTTTTATCTTTCCTACTCTAGCCCAGCTTAGCAGCAGTTGCCCTACTTGCCTATGAGCAAATTAGGTTTTATAGGCATGTGATCAGCCTTGTATTATCACTTTGTTCCAAAAGTTAAGGCCTGAAGTGAATGTTGCAGGGTTGACACGGCTCCTTCTCTACCTCCAATGGGCCCTTGCCAATTCACTGTGACTCGTGGCCACAGACCAACCTTTCACCTCAAGCTCAAGCAGTCAATGTTTTCTACCTTGCACCTGCCAAGCTGTTCAATCTGAACGAAACCTTCTTCTTCTGGTTCAAATTAATGGTCGCAAAATTTATGGCGCATTTTATGGAAATTGTTGTAATATAACTAAAATATGACAAGTTATAATGGTATTTTTTATGTAAAAATAAAATTAATAAAAAAATAAATAGACCATGTGACATCTTTAACATGATTGATCAAATATATGCCATAAAAATTTTGAAACAAGTTATAGTTGCACACTTACACCAGGGCCATAAAACTTTTCTCCCATGGCCTTGGATAAAGAAGAGTATAAAAACTCACTCTTGGATTCAGGGAAACTTAAAGAAGATATATCAATCAGTCATCTTGAAGTGGAAAGAAATCTGAAATCCTTTTGAACCAAACCCAGAAGCTGGTTCTAAGTGGAAACATTCTATAATGAATCTCTGCAACCCGCATGTGTGGCAACTGTACTGAATACTGTTACTGTTCCAATCAATAAATTCTGAATGAACAATGATACACAGACCAGCTCCAGTTTCCAACTTCTTTGAAACCAGTGCTGTCAGTTGTATTCATTTCCAGAAAAGAATAAAGAAACCCTTCCAAAACCCTGATTAATGAACTGTGGAAGTGGGGTTCTCTGGGGTTTCCATCTTCCATCCATGAATGGTTAACTCTAACCGGTTAGAACTTAAAACCCATTTGTTTTTTTTTCACAACCAAAGGGTAGGGTTTATTTTGGGTGTAGCATGTCTATCTTTTATGAAGCTGCAGGAGTTCCCAGAGATGGACGATCACGTATTTAATGGAGGGAAAGAGACGCATTCACTAACATGCGCTTGGTGTATTCGTCACATTATTGTCTAAGAAGCAGGTGGGTCACCTACTATCTTTGCATTATCTCTTTGCAGAGCGTACTGCGCAGTGCGCACCATGGTTACGTACCAGTCAGGAGCATTTGAACTCGAGGCGCCACCTCAACATGCTGATGTTATTGAACGAAAACCCATCTTTGGATGGGAAGGAGTCGAGGACTAAAAATTCAGTAATTCATCTCCGCCGTGGGTCCCACCTACCCCAGGACCAGGTCATAAAATCAGCTCCCTCAGGTGCTTGTCTGATCCCAACGGTCTAATAACCTGACTTCTCATTCTCGACCGTCCGATTTAAAAGAGTACCTCCTCCTTATTTCCCTTTCATCCGCTATCTTTTGGTGTTTTTACATTTACCCCCTGTATCATATATATCATTTACGTTCACTTCACTTCCCTGGATGGCTGTACGTTAATGGTGTAAAATGAAAATAGAGTGAATTCGAATTGAATCAACCAAATTTACAGATTCAAATTTGGCTAGACGATTCAAGATATGAATTCTATTTGATATCCAACACATATTATAAAATAGAAACTGAATTTAAATTAATTATCACATGCTATACATGCTGATAAATATTAACCATATATGCTATACGGTATTTAAATTTAATTTTTATGACTTATATGGACTCCAAGTCAAATATCCATTTTTTATAATATAAATAATCGGATATCTGATTCAATTCATATTACACCATGTTTGTTATATATGCATGTGCACATGTATGTATATATTTAT